AGCGATTGAGGCTGAGTGCCCATAAGCATTAATCACCGTTCGAAGGATTGTTGAATACAATGAAATATAATCGAGAATTCTTCGCAAGAGAATGATGAATCACTTATTTTTGCTACATGCTCTGTCCCACATAGCTTTCTGAATCATTGGTAAGCAACTGTGCATGAATAGGAAGGAGCAGAATCATTCAACTACTGCTAGCAGCTATCCATAACTTAATGGCGCATAGTTCTCTAAAATGATGAATGATTAAGGCGAATGAAATTTCGCCAAGTAAGGCCTTACACTTCGTTATCGATTCCGTGAATGTTTCAGTTTGGGGAGGAAGAGAGGTGGGAACCAGAACTAAGTTCAAGGATTCTTTTATTCCATTTCTGGATTAATCCTAACTTCTCCTCAAATGAATGTCTTTCGTCCACATAGCTATATCTTTGTTCAGTTACAATATTGTCTCTGAACCCAAAAAGTCTTGGTTGAAGCTGAAAAAAAGAAGCCAAACTGAACACAGAGAATTCCCTGAGTTGAGGTCGAACGGTTGGAGCTGTGCTTGAAGTTATGCCAAAAAAATTCTTTACCCTTTGGCACAATCCCGTAAGCGTCGTCTTCTCTGCTGATCAGTTGATCAGTGATCCCTGTTGGCTGACTAAGATTTTATTCCCCTTCCCCTCACCTTTCGGAGCAGACAATCCTTCTGAGTTCACCGCGGTAACTGCGGGAGCACCGTGTCATTTATGGTACCCAAGCGATGTCCATATACTCTTATTACCAAGGGACGGTATTAGCTGAAAACCTTTCAATCCGAGGAGAAACACACGGAAAACTTCTGTTCTGTCTGCGATGGAAACGATGGCGACGAGGAGTCAGGTCGAGTTCACCCTAAAAGCCCATAAGTACCAAATTTTGTTGACTTGAATGGATAATGTGTGAGAATACCCTGCTGCGTGCACCAATAGTCTATACGCATATATTACTCAAGTACTGGTTGTAATCGATGTAAATTTTCTCGTATTGACACAAACTGTTCGAAGGAAGGAGATGACCTGTAGGATTGTCCTAACAGGGATTTATTGATACGGTTCGTTTCGCATCGTTGCAAGAGATAAATAGCATCCGTTGGTCACACCTCCTTCACGGTGACCTTGTCGAGGTGTGAGAAAAAGCTTTTTTTGGGGGTATGGCCTAAACAAACACCGACCGACGACTATAATGACCATTTGATGCGCAGAGATTCCAGACAACATCGGTTGACGAAGGAGAAATCAACAATGGCGCTATACGTTGGTTCAGGTAGACAGTGTACAGGTGCGAGTCTATTGCAGATGATGAGAGACTCCCGAGATGCACACGTTGATGAAGAGCGTTCCGTTCTTGGCGCTCCATCGCTTTCCGATCGGCTACGCTCCGTCTCCTCCGTATAGGATGGGTATAGGGTGGACTCGACCGACTTCTCGCCGCCATCGTTGTCCATCGCGACCGAGCGAATCGAGTACCCTGCTACGAGTCTTCCAAATCACGTCGGCGTCAATTTCTATATCGTCACCTAGTTTTCTATTCAGCAAAGGCCACTGCTGTCTCCCTCCCTACGTGCCATCGAGCATTTACAATTGAACTCACATTTGGACCCCCCAAAATTACTATTTTCGGCCGTTTTTTCTGAAACTGGCCCCCATTTAAGGAAATATGTTGGCTTTGTTCGATGACCTTTTGGGTTAGACGATGCTCATGCTCATCTACCTGTAGTCATTACATCTCTAGCCCCTGACTATGACTATGAACTTGCGATACTATAGACTTTGATATCGGAGTAAGCTAGCAGACAAGGATATTGCGGTTAACTTTCAGCTCATTCTTCATCGAGCTTAAATTTCTGGTAGTTCAAAATTGTAAAATATAGTAGGCATGCTCTTGACACTCTGCACTTGCTGTTTCTCTGCCTAGAAGAACTATTTCATAGTACTAGGAGGAGCATTCCAGACAACTTTACAAAAATTCCTGTCCTTCAAATTAAGCGAGCAGTTCTCTTGGTCAAATTCACGTACTAACGAACAAAAAGTAGATATTGAATTAGATAAAACTCGTTCAGAAGGGGAGTCATTCGATTAGAGACGCTCCTTTCAAATTGCCAGATACTTATTCCGAATAGGTTTCTCCAGTTAATATGTTCTGTTCTAATGTTCTTTTTTCACATTCTGGATTTATTTGTAATTGCGACAGTCTTTGCTTTCATTTTATTTTGTGCTCGTAAGCTGTTAATTTCATTATGGACCCCTTTATCACCTGTAGATAAACTATAAAACTCCCAGATCAAATATGAGCCAAGAATGAGTTTGAGTAAAGGCTGAGGGCGTGGCGCACACTTATTGATAAGGACGGCCATATCTGTACCCTTTGCCTTTGAATCTTCACAGAAGTACTTTTTAAAATGGGATTTTTCCACTCTTATGGCTCGATACTCTTCAAAAAACGCGTCTTCGAGAAGCTCGGGGAATTCTATCTACTCCTGCTAAGCTGTATAATTGTTCCTAGGTAAAGTAATCGGTGCATGGTAAGTCCCCATCGAAAAGCGAAGGGCGTTCTTTTTATTAAAGCGTCCCCTGTTTTTTTTTTCGAGAAAGGCTCAACATTTTTCGCATGAAATCCTCAGTTACCAACCCAGTCTCGTTGAACCTCGTGGGTGGGAAACGTGTGTCTGATCTGTGTGGGAGAGTCCCGCAGTGATTTCTATGTTTTCTTTGACTTGACTGAAACGTTCTTGTCTGGACAGTTACACTTCCTGGTTGTGACACCAAACATCGTCCGTCCTTAGTCAGATGGTCTCTTCAGGACACAGTTTTTGGGTTTGTCAAGACTCTCTGGTCTTTTTCTCTAGAATCCTATGAGCATACCTACTTTTCCTTTGATAACTTCTTAAACGCTTCATCTCTAAGCGACTTGAGGCTTCCTATTCGATAACATATGGTTGTATTTCAGGTGAAGGGTACTGTATTGGAGAGGCAACTGAAATACAAAGCAACCTGAGGCAACGTCAGCTTCCTAGTAATCTTCACCAGGACTCAGAATACCGTGGACCTTTGAATCCATGATATCTATAGCTCTGTGGATCGTATTCGCTCTACTTGGCTACTTTCTTCTGAAACGGCTGATTCTGGAGCATATTTATATCGATCGCCGTGGAAAATATGTATTTATCACTGGCTGTGACAGCGGTTTTGGTCGACTGCTCGCTCTCAAATTGTTAGAAATGGGAGTGAACGTTTTCGCAGGATGCTACACTGAGAATGTGAGTCCAGTGCTTTCATTTTCTCTTGTTTTCTTTTTGCTTTTCATTTCTGCTTTTTTTTGAAACTTTTGTTGAATAAAATGGTACTATTTCGATTTATTTACACATCTTTTCGCCATTTGTGCCATTGTCTACGACCTTAGCCTTTCCTTTTCAGCTAATTAGACCTCTAGGCCTAACAACATTGGGTAGATGGTCGACATTCTTGAAATAATTGCTTTTTTGGTACTCGATCATCTACTCGTTCACTTATCTATGTACATCGAACTACACCTCCCATGTCCCCATAGAGAGAGTGGCGTTCAGTTCCGCTTCCGCACGTACACCTCACGGGCGCTGATCATGGTCAGCCGGCCTTAATACCTCAAATGCGAACATTTATCGACGGGTGGCTGAATCTAGTAACAGATCTCCCCTTGGCTGTCCCATTTCTTTTACTATTGCATATGTCCCATATGCTTTTCCTTCTTACTCCCAGTTATATTGGGATTCTAGTGATGTAGATAATCATCGATATTACCGTAATGCAAGGTATTATGGGTGAATTTGGTGTAATGCCAAATGGTGCGTATCGCGAGCAGGGTCCCATTTACTCCCGTACTGATATAAAACAAGCCAATCAAGCTCTGCATCACCTCTGGATGTACTAGTTGGTACGAAACTCGTCCAGGAGGCTGGGGACTGTGGTTCGCCCATCAGATGGCCACCCCAAGTCATCCCACAGGCACCCTTCTCAACTGACTTTTTCTGAATTCATAAACTTTTGGAAGGATCTCGAATCTGTGGAGCGAGGCATCCCATCCGAGACTGTTCAGCACCAAGCGTTCTTACTAATTACCATTCGACTACAACGACATTCATTGCAAAGTGATGACTTAGTGTTACGAGTTATTATGAAACCCTGGTTAGGTGTGGTTAGGTTCGGTAGCAAATGCTAGCCCAAAATCGTTGGGTAACCAAAAAACGGTAATCGTAGTGCTAAGAACGTGCGGGTTCCGTGGCATTTTCTGATCGAATTTCAGAAAGCGTCACCCTCGCGGGCAGTTATAAAATAAATTCTAATTAGCAGATGTAGATATATATTATATATAGATAGAATTATTTGAACTTTCATGCTTTTCATTATATGGCTTCAAATGAAGTAGTTGAATACACCAATGATTTGGATAATTTGCCTGACTTTTTTTAAATTATGAAGCTTCAATGAGTACATAAGTAGTGTTAGGATTTCTAGGGCCGTGAGGATCTCATCAAATGTGCCCATCAACTCCACGGTGGCCAACTGTATACGGTACTCATCGACGTCACCAGTGATGAGAGCGTTATAAGGGCGAAAGGCGAAGTGGAAAGTATACTTACAGTCCAGGTCTGTTAAAAAAACTGTTAGAAATCATCAAAGCTGAAGTATAAATAACTTATTCTCATGAGTAAGGATTCTCATTCAAAACTGAATAAAAAGTTTTATCTAAACGCTATGTTGACTATCACAAAAACTTGTTCCTGCCTCCATTGATTGTCTTAACCCCTTACCGATTCTTCTAGAGAGCTCAGCTTCATGGCCTTGTGAACAACGCTGGTGTGTTCACAATTTTTGGTCCTGACGACTGGTGTTCTACTAACGAGTACTTGGCATCATTGAACGTGAACACCTTGGGAGCAGTTCGAGTTTGTCACAGTTTTCTGCCCCTGATTAAAAAAAGCAAGGTTTGTGGGTCTTGGTGAGAATATGCAAAATGTGAGGTCAGCTTTGAATCCTTCTAGATTTTTAGGGACGAGTTGTAACGATGGGATCGACAGCTGGTCGCCTTCATGGTCTCTATGTTGGCCCCTATGTCACAGCTAAATTCGCTGTTGAAGCTTATATGGACTGTCTGCGACTAGAAATGCTCCCTTTCGGCGTGTCCGTCCACATTTTGGAACCTGGTGCCTTCAAAACGGAGCTGCTTTGTGAAGGAGCTCAGCATGCCAGAGTTAACAAGGTGATTCCCATTGACCTCTACCTGCACATCTTCCTGAGGATCGGTTTTTTAGATATGGGAAAAACTACCAGCTACTGTGAAGAATGAATATGGCGAGCAATTCAAAGAGAACTGTAAGCACTAATACTTTCGTTCGAATCATTCGGCTATCCGAGTTGAGCCGTACTTATGAAGTTTCCAGTTGATAGTTCTCTCCAGAACTCAAAAAAATCTCACAACCTCAAAAAATGGTCTCACGACATAAAAAAATCTTTTCGGTATTTTATGTAGTTTTTTGTGAAAATTCGTGAAAGCTTTTATTTCTTGGAAAGTGGCTGAAAGCGAAATTCTACTGTGTTCCAGTCAAAATCGCATGGCAGACAGGAGTGAATCTTGTGGCAAACCCAAATCTTCACTGGGTTGTTGATAGCTATATCCATGCGTTATTTGGCTACTGGCCAAGATTGAGGTACAGTCATTTTTTTAGTTATATATGGCCGCAAAAGTTATGGAACGATTCAGCCGTGACTTATTAAAGTTGGAGAGTTAAAGATAATTCGAATCAGAAGGTTTTGTAAAGATTCTCGCGTTCCCTTTTTTAAGGTACTCTCCCGGCTGGGATGCAATATTCTGCTTCGTACCGCTCAGCCTCATGCCTACGTGGATCCAGGTGAGTAACACTTCCCAAGATAAAAGTAAGTAGCATGAAATTGACGTTTCCTTTGGGAATACACTGATCAGAACAAAGGGATGAAGGCGTTTTACCGCAGCTAAGAGCAGAAGTTGGCATGAATAGCTCACAGAAGCTGTATGAGAGCGTAATGGAGTAATTGTAACTAAATCTATGTATAAACGACGAAATGATAGAGACGATGATGCCGACCACCTATTCTGAACGTTTTTCAGGACACCGTTTTACATTTCATGTACTCTATGCAGCCTGGACCACCTCTTAATGTTGCAGCCTTACAAAAACGGTACGTCACTTTTATCTAGCAGAAGATTTTCCCATTTTTGAGATCAAAATCCTAGGAAGGAGGATAAACATTAGTTACTCCCCTAATCATTCCCTTTTGAGAACCGCCCAAGATACCAACTAACATTCTTAATCGCTGAGGGCTTAAATGTATACAGTTAATACGGGAGAATAAGCCGTTGGTTTTAGCCAAATGATGGTGCTCATTTATCATTTTCTGGGAAGTAGGGGGAGGCGGAAGTATTCTCCTGGGGCAACCTGGACTTCGACACGACACCCTTCTGGCTTCTACGGGCATTTATGTAAAACCATTCCTATACACTTACAATTTCGCACTGAATAGGTTCATGAGCTGTCCCTGAAATCTCATTTGCCACTCACTTTCTAGCACAAGCTTATCCTGTCTCCTTTCAGAGGCAGCATGCCTCTGCTCGAGAAATGCTGGTCGTTCTTCGGCAAGGCTGGCCATATCAGTCTTTTGTCAGCTGTCGTCGGGGCCCTATACATCAAATCGCTTGTCATTTATGTCACTTCGACAGCGGCAAGGAACGGAAATGAGACGATATCAACAGAGTAGACGGGCAGACACAGGAAGATTAGGCACAATAAGTTTTGGATGTGCTGACTGAATCTCATCGATCCACTAAGCAGTTACTTCACTGAACTCACAATCAAATTATGAGTAGGCATCAGAGAGAGGCTTCCTCTGATACAGGATCCACACGTGGTTAGTCCGTTCGATTATCCTGCCCCTAGCTTTCCTTTTAAAACCTACCAACTAGATTTCAATTTTCCCTCATCAGAAGTTTAACCAGTTGAGTATATTTTTCAAAATGGCGTGTTGTAAGATATGGAATTTGTTAAGCATGTATATTTGAATATGTAAACTTACATAGTTCAAGCGATTTGCCCATCATCGAGTTTTTTTTCGTTTTTTCACCAAACTTTCACAATCGCAATAAGAAAAGTTTATCCTTTCAGTGGTGCCTGTTGGGTTTTGTACGAGATTATTGTTTTTAACTATTTCTTGCTATACATTTGGAGCTTTATTATTGCTTTTCTTTGTGTTTTTTGTCGTCGCTACTAGTCATAATAAAGTTCAATAAGTTCAGTCAGAGCTCAAGGGTGATTTAAAACCATTTTCAAAAACATTGTGGCCTAGTGGCAAGAGGCGCCGCATGCTCTTGAGCTGTCCACAAGATCGTATCCCAAAAGAACTTTCACACCTTCGTCGGCCTTATTGGGTTATAAACAACAATGGCTTGAGCATATCGAAGAATGAAAAATGGCTGGTCTACGAAAGTGTCCCTACTGTTAGTTCCTAGGTCTTTTGAGTAGTATGTACTAGAAAGAGGAGCTGATGGCTAAGTTGCCCTGTCTCCACGAATTCGCAGGCCAAATATGCCAATTATGTGTTACGAAGGGAATATGCATTTCCAGTCAACTGCTGAAATCTTTTGATGACACGTGGCCGGTTTTGGATTTCTTTGCAGAACGTTGCCGCTTGGATTCGATCCACTTGGTCCAAAACAAATCCGATCCAGTGGCTGCTGCAACCGTAACCTGGTGGCTATAGCTGCATGACTTCAGGCCTGAGGGACAAAAAGCATTACTCCTCGGACCAGCACCATGTTTTGGCATCGAAGTTCATGAGCGCGCGTAAAATCAATACTCACTTGAAAGTGTAGGCAACGGTAAGGAATTTCAAACTGAGAATAGAAAAGGTATCAAACAGCCTTTGAGACATGGCTGCTTTAATCGTTGTTTATTTTGACACGATTAAGGCCATTGTCAATTTGCATTGATTATTCCATATCGAGATTAGTTTTTATGAGCGCCCAGTCGCTCTCCTCTTTTTTGAGGCCATTTCAGAAAATTGTTCGATGAGTTCTTGGCAACGTTGCTTCCGTTGAACGTCATTCATCCGAACCGCCACCAACTTCGCTTCACTAAATGGTTACTAACAGTCGAATCATATTCAAGCTACATGAACCTGGGGTTGAGCGAAACGCTGTTTTTATGGTGCTTTGGGAGACAGTGCATGAGATTCTTATTGATTACTTTGCCGTAGCCTGAAAGATCCATAAAACTGCACATACTTGTATCTCCTTACTGCTTCTCCGAATCGTGACAAACTGACATACTCGTTACCAATGTTCTGCAATGCTCGGTACTCCCCTTCGCCGTCGCCTAATTGACGAGCCAGATCCAATCGCTAAAAAGTGCGTGCTAAAAATAGTATTAATTATTAATTATTTTGGACTTAATTTTGTCATCTGTATCTCCAGTGTTACGGTCACAATGCATGAGATACTGTATCTCCCTTGAACATTTCGTACAATCAAAACTCGCTTGTGTCTTACCATCTCTCAAAAGCTCGTTGTACCCGGCCTACAAAATGAGTTTTTGAACAACTTTCCCAATAACTTCACCGCGGGGGGATCTTCTCCACCTCATATCACTAAAAATGCTGGAAAATTCCAGAGGAAAGTTGAGTACGTAGCTTAATCAGGGAATGATGATCATATCAGCTCACTTCCGTCTGTTTTGCTTCAATCATTGCTAATATCAAAGGCATCACGTAAGAGACAATCATATCTATCTATAATTCTGGTCTTCAATAATAATCCTACCCATAAATGGAAACCAATGGCTTCTTCGTGGCTTCCGAGAAGATGTAGAATGTTCCCAATACAGCCATAAAGGTTTCCTTCTCTGTCATAGTCGTTGAGCGTTTTCGTAAATAGCACACTTTTACTGAAAATTCAAGACACTT